GATCTTTTTAAATGATGCTATCCCATTTATTAACTCTTGGCATTATTTTCTAAGCTTTAAGGTCCTATTGAGAAAGTCATTGTCAGTGTCTATATTGCTCGAGTGTTGACCTTGCATTTTCTTCTAGAAATTGAATCGTTCCTGGTCTAATTTTTATATTTTTTTATTCATGTTTAATTGATTTTCATGTGGAATAAGAGATAAAAGTCTAATTTTTTTTCTTCTATATATGGGCTCCCGGTTTTCCTAGCACTGTTTGCTAAAAAGGCTGTCTTTGTCAAAAAAAGATGAGGTTACTGTATCTGAGTAAGTTTGTATCTGTGTCTTCAAGTCTGTACTATTGGTCTATGTGTCTGTTCTTAGGGCAATTATTTTTGAGGGAAGTGTCTGTGTGTGTCACCTAAGGATGCAGAGGGGACTTAGAAATGACAATGGACAGCACTCTCAGTGCTGTCCATAATGCATGGAGTAGTGCATATTCTAAGTGCATTTTCTGAGATGGTTTATTGTAGTTGTAACTGTCCTTATACTAAGTGTGACAGTATACACTTGGACACTAAGACCCTGTGGTCCATATGTTACCATTTGATGGCTGGGTTTTATTTGTAGATAAATCTAAATTTTATAGAGGAATAATTGGGCCTCCCCTTCCATCCTTCCTTCCTTCCTGCCTTCTTTTTTTTTTTACTCTTATTTTTAAGTAGGAGTAGACTGGAGATATAGCTCAGTTGGTAGAGTGCTTGCCTTGCATGTACAAGACCCTGGGTTCAATCCCCAGTACCACAAAAAAAAAAAAAAAAGAAAGAAAGAAAACTTATAGAATAGTAAACATGTAACCAGTAACATCATCATTTACCATTGCTATTGAGTATTATGTATGGTACATAACTTTCCATGCTATACTTTTATGACAGAAGTACTGTAGGTTATTTATACCAGCAACACCCCAAATTTAATGAGTAGTGCACTTGCTAGCACAGCTGCCATGATGTTGACAACAGATGACAGCTGTCATGTCACGGGGCAACAGGGATTTTCCAGCTCTGTTATAATCTTATGGGAACATCACAGAAGCAGTCCATTGTTGAACAAAATGTCTATGGCTGTCGTTTTTATATTCAATTACACACACTTGATTGATCCTCTTGGTGAGTTGATCTAGTTTGTTGCTGATTTTATGCCACTAGATCTGTCCATTTCTAACACTCAATAGGAGGCTGACAAGAGTGAATATCTGATTTTGAGCTACACATTTAATTTATATACAGAGAGGAAATATTTGGTGGATCATATTCAAAGTTAGTAGTGTAGTAGTTGTTTAAGCCAGGGATGGGTGATAAGTACAGGGAGAAATTGCTATTCAACCTTCTGCTTGCATCCTGGTGTCTATGAATAAGTTTGTTTTTTACAAGAAGGGAATGAAGTCTGTACTTGGTCAGAAACCCTCCTGAACCAGTATTCCTGTATTTTATTGATTAATACCTCAATGTCTTGGGTTTGTGACTGGAAAGACCTTGCTGCTGTTTAAGCAGGGTCTGGCTGGAATTTAGTTCTTAGGCTCAGCTGGCACTAGATAATACACTTCATTTTATCCAGGAGGTGAAACAGAAGTTTCTAGAAGATAACAAGTCTGAAGATCTTGTAGCTGTAACTGTCCTTATACTAAATGTGACAGTACACACTTGGACACTAAGACCCTGTGGTCCATATGCTACTGTTTGATAGCTGGATTTTATTTGGAGATAAATAAATGATGCCATGTCCCACTGAAGCCACTGGAGGTGAGAGTCTTACAAAGAAAGAGGAAGGACAGACTGAGAGGTTTATCTACCCTCTCACAGAAGGTCTAAACAGGATGCAGTACAGTGGGGTCAGCTTGGTGAAGAGAGGAGACAAAGGGTGAGGACTTCCCAGGGCATCTGCCGGTGTTGTCCTCCTGACTCCCACAGACGCACACTCCCCCATGTCTTGATACCTACTCCTCTTGTTTGGATTCATAGGAGCCTCTCCATTGGATTCCTTTTAAATTTGCATGAGTTTTTCTCTAGTTTCCATGGGACATAAAGTCAACTGTTATGATGTATTATACTTATTCTATTTCCTAAAGTGATCATGGGGTGTGTGAGGCAGGATACTGGGATATTTTTGGAACAAGTTAAGATCATAAAGGACCCTCACAAATCCTCTGTTTGGACCATAGTGCCCTTGCTGTGGGAATAAGGATCTCCTCCTCTTGAAGTTTTGTGCCTTCCCCACCTGCACCCCCATTTTCTTGTGGGCCAGGAGAGAGTGCTACAGGTGGTGTGTTCTTGGTGTGTTGTGTCTGATAAACCTGGGGCTGTTTCTGTTCTTGGAGTTTCTAAGTGGTGTTGCACAGGGGCAGCACATACAGAGATAAAGAAGTCTTCCAAGTTCTCTCATAGGCAACAGAGGAGGGATTGAGAACAGTGTTCCCATGCTGGCTCTTTGGTTGTTAGAGTAGTCTTTTATATGATCTCCTTCCTCCATCCTTACCCTGATAAAAGTAAGAGTGGTCCTTTTAAATATAGTTAAATCATGGCATTCCTTCACTCAGAATTTTGTGATACCCTCAATCTCATTCCCAGTCCAAGTCAAATTTCTCATGGTGGTCAGTAATGATCTCTGCCTGAGCTCTCCTTCTTTTGACTTTATCACCTGTCTTCTTGCCCTCCTTCACTCTTCAGGCCCTCTGGCCTTTTTGCTGGTTCCTTACACTAGTGCTTAGAATAGCACTGTTCCTCCAGAAAACCACCCTCAGTGACTGCTCAATAGCATCATTGGAGAGTGCTTTCCTGACCCCCTGTCCTACATCAGTCTCTTCTGTAGCTGCGATTTAGAGGTTTGCACCACCATATCTAGCTTGAATTCTTTATTTTAATATTTTTTTAAAGATGTGGTTATTAGGTGATAATCTGTTTTCCTTAAAATATTACTACTGTAATTAAAACTACCTTTTAATGTCAATGTTTAATAACTCCAGTCTGGATTACCTGTGGGTCTTCTTTTATGTTCTTATTTTTGGAACTTTAGCTCCTATATCTGACATACTTGAAAATTTGAATGAGGATATCTTTTGTTTTTCTTTGTATTGTTAATCTGGGGCCCTTAACCAGTGAGCCACATCCACATGCCGTTTTATTTTATTTTTTTATTTTGAGACCATGTTTTTGCTGTGCTACTTAGGGCCTCACTAAATTCCTAAGCTGGCTTTGAACTTGAAATTCTCCTTCCTCAGTCTCTTAAGTTGCTAAGATCAAAAATATGTGCCACTCCATCTGGGTGATGATATCTTTTTAAGAATGATGACCTAGATTGAGCAGAGAATGTTCTCTTTTTGGTTTTCCTGTATTCTCGGGACATAATGTTTCTGAGATCTTGAAAGCTTGGTTTTCTAGGAATCCTCACCTTTACTGGCTCACAATTCCAAATTTTGTCTCCCTGGATGAAAGACTGTTGAGATATTTGCTCAGATATACTAGGGGCTTCCTGGACAATGCCTCTAGCAGCTTCTTTCTGCTTGGCTCCTGAGTGGTGCCCTGTGTGTAAAAGTTTGAATTTGCAAACCCCAGAGGGGAAAAGGCACAGGGTTCTGGGATTGCCCAGTGCTGTTCCTTGCTTGCTGGGATTTTCTGCATGGAGGACTACATACCTGGCATACACCAAGGTTTTCTGAGTGGCAGGCAACTTCCCTTGTGCTAGGCATGTGAGCAGCAGAACTCTTACCCCATAGGCACAGCCCTGGGCATGAGGCCGTGTGTTGCAATCCCCGTGCTTGCTCCATGGTCCACTCCTCAATTGGTCACTGCAAGGACAGGTAGCAGAAATTGCGTTGGTAGCTGCCTGTAATCTGCTTAGCTACTGCCTAAGAATATATACATGGTAACTGTGCAATAAAATCAGATCTGTTTCCTGCTTGGTCTCCAGAGGTCTTGATTAGCAATTCTGCAGTCACACTCTCCTCTACCCTGTTCTGTGGACCTACTCGCTGGATGAGAGAGAGCCCACACAATTTTGGTTCCTCCAGTACCATTGGCTTTCTTGCTCTCATCAGAGAACTCTTCACACACTCCTTCTCATGTTCTCTCTGCTTCTATGGTTGTTCTCGGGAGGATGATTAGTTTGGAGCAGCTAGTCCACCATAGGCAAAGATAAAGTTCTTCATGAATGTCTTTGGCTTTTAAAAATGAGAGCTAGGATTATTGCAGTTAGCACTTAAAACCAATTTAACAAGCTTAGTTCAGCCACAGGTCTAATTCTGATTAAATACTTTAAGGGAACTTTTGTAATTTCTGTAATGAAATATTTTTAACTTAAAATTCACTTTTGCTCTAAAGCTTTGAACTGCTTAACTATTGGTTTGATTTAGTTCATAATTTTCATATGTTTGTGCATGAAGGAAATAATAATGTCATTGCAAAAGAATGTTGGCGTTTACCTACTTTGCTGATTGAAGGTGCACAACAACCAAAGTTGTACAACTATAAATTCAGAGAAATCTCTCCTGCCCCAGAATGCTAGAATAAGTTCCTTTTGGTAGTAAAAATATTATAAACACTAACATTAAACAAATACAACCACTGAATGATGCTCCTCTAGGCTCTTCCTGAATTGAGGTTATATCATATTATGATTTTCAAGCCAGATAAAACTAATAATTATTTGCATTTTTCTGCCTCCCTGGGTTTTGAATAATTTTCATACTGTTTAATTATTAGGACACCTTAATTTGGGAATGTGACATCTAATTGGAGTGCAGGTATTCTAGTTTGGATCTGCCTCCCATTATAGGTTCTAAGGTTCTTTTTATCACAGTGATGTGGGGTCTTCTTTATAAAGAAGAACCTACTCACTACAGCACAGTTTAAAAGGATCCTGGTTTAAATGTGTTCATATGTTGTTATCTAGTGTTTATAATTTGATTTACGTGGACTATCAACTTACTAATGCTTTTCCCTCTACAGAAAGGCAGAACTATCCAGATGTCTTCCAGTAATGACCTGTGTTCAATTTCCATGTCCCAAAGAAACTCTGATGATCTCCCTGAGACAACTTCCAGTGATAAGAAAGGGCCTGTGTTGAGTTTTCACAATGTCTCTTATCATGTAAAAGAGAAGAAATGCTTTCCATTTAATCAAAAAACAACTGAGGAAAAGGAACTATGGAATATCAAGTATGTGCATGAACTTTTTAAAAGACCACTATATTGACCAACAATGAATACAGGTCTTGGCTACTGTGTTCAAGACTGTGTACAGACATATTAAGATATGCTTTCACATCTTTTGGCTAAACTAGGACTGAAATGATTGAGTCATCTTTAAGTGTATGTTTAGTTTGAAAGGAACTGAACTGACACACCATTTCTAAAAATGATTGTAAAACGTATATCAATATTTATTTAAGAAACTGAACAATTAATAGGTCTTTAGTTTTTCATGGGTAACCTTGTATTTGGGTGGAAGGATGTCTGTATCATTGTTTTTTAATTGTGGGTATATAATTGTAACTCTGAAGTTTCCAAACTATGAAATACAATGTGCTTTCTGAAACAGATGCATTTTAGGTACTTGTGCACTTTATATCCTTTATAGTCTAGAAGCAAGAAAGTTAAAATGCTAGTATATTGTGAAAGTACTTATCTTTTCAAACAGACCTGGGTTAAATGAATGGTTGCTTTAAAATTGTCTCTTTATAATAGTTATAATTGTTCTATAACAATTTACTTATCACTTATTCTAATAAAGACAGGTACAACATATTTAAATATAAGATGTCTGTAAATTAATTGAAGTTATACAGTTAAAGTACAGAGTAATAAGAATTTATAATCTTAAATCAACTATTTTTTATTTGTTCTAATTAGTTTTACGTGACAGTAGAATTTTGCATTTTGACACATCATATGGAAATAGAGTATATCCTCTCATTCTTCTGGTTGTATATGATGTGGAATAACACCAGTCATGGAATCATAAATGCACATAGGGCAGGGTAATAATGTCCAATTCATTTTACTAACCTTCCGACCCCTGTATCTTCTCCCTTCCCTTCACTCCCCTCTGCCTAGTCCACTCTATTTTTCCCTAACCCCCACTGCCTTTTTGTAAATTAGCATTCACATACCTAAGAAAACATTCAGCCTTTGGTTTTTCTGGGATTGGCTTATTTTGCTTAACATGATATTCTCTAGCTCCATCCATTTACCAGCAAATGCCACAATTTCATTCTTTTTAAGGCTGAGTAATATACCATTGTGTATATATACCACATTTTTTTTATCCATTCATCTGTTGAAGGGCACCTAGGTTGGTTCCATAGTTTAGCTATTGTGAATTGGGCTGCTATAAATGTTGATGTGGTTGTGTCACTGTAGTATGATGATTTTAAGTCATTTGGGAATAAATAATTATATTTTTAAAGTACATGGCAATTATGATTTTTATTCTTTTCATCTCACAACAAATTCAGAACTCAAAGTGCAATGTTGAAATGAGATCTAGAGTAGGAGGGCAATGAATATTTCTATGTAACCTATCACTACCACATGTACCTCTGTGAGTTCAGATACTGACCGTTATGGGTGTCAATGTTTTTCTGATATTTGTGAGTCTCTGATTCCCATATATGATGTTAGGATGTGAATTTGGCTTTGCATAGATACCATCGCTATAAGTTCTGTTTGTGTCATAAGGGAAAAATTCTTCCTAAACAAAACAAAAACTTTTTCCTGGCTCCCCAAGGCTGGAGAGTAGTTATAAAAGAGTACTTTGACTCAATGTGGTTGCAGATCTATATGGAATTAGACATTCATTCTGTTTTCTAGATATTTTTTATGTGACTTTATACTTCTTTGTTAATTCCAGCAACTCCCTTCAGATCAAGGAAGTGATAAAATAGCATAGAAAATGTTGAGGCATAGGTGGAAAAGAAATGGTGAGGATCTGAGGGCTTATTGGGCTGAGGCCTTGACTGCTATTAGGATGGGATCTCTGTCCATGCAGCAACACCTGCTATCTTGCCTACTTCTTGTCTCTCTCGTGTTGGTTCAGGAAATCCTGACTAGGAAAATAAGGAGAGAAATGGTGGATAAAAGGCTTTGATCTTTTACTACATTAGATAGACTTGACTTATGAAAAGCTAACAAGCCTTTGTGAAATACAGTAATTAAAATATGTTTGTCCCTACAGATTTTGTGATGAAAGAAGTGAATGTACCATGCTTTGAATATGTGCAGGTTGAATAGATATAAAATACACTCTGTGTGAGGGTTCATTTACCTTGCTTATCCTTTCCAGCTGCCTCAATGGATATGGAATTAGCTACTGCTCCACATTGGAACTATGGCATTTGGGAATCTACACTACTTCCATTTTCTGCAACACTGGGTTTAGTGTCAAAGAAAACCAAACAGTGGTACCTGTGAAATACTTTGCCTTTACATATTTACATTTGGTTTTGGTTGAATCATTCAGGATGGCTTGATCTTTCCTTCAGTACATATCTTAAAAACCTGGGAAGTTTTCCAGGCACTGAATGAAGACTTAGGAAATAAGAAGGCTTTTCCTACTCATTTTAGAAGCAGTTTCTAGGTAGATATTAATAAAGAAGATCATTAGGAACTGTATACAAATGCACTTTGAGAGTGTACCCAAGCATTTTTAATTTGGGAGTTTGCTAATGATTGAACCCAAGACTTTATGCATGCTAAACACCCATGCTAGCACTGATCTTCACCCCCAGATGTACCCAGTCATTTGTGTGTCCTTACACTGGGGGAGGAAGGTTACCAAAAGAGTAAGAATTTTCTGTGTCACATCTTGTTCCTGGTTTATCACACTCTCATTATATTAGTTCAGTCATTGAGTGAGTTGTTCCTAGTTAAAAAGCAAAGTGAAAGGTACATTTCACCTCAGCCCCCAGCTGCCCTAGTATCATTGTGGGACAGATTAGGTGGCACCGGCCATGAATGCCAAAGTCCTAGTGGTGTGAGTGCTGTGGGACACTGTAGAACACATTTTGAGGTACCTAACAGTTCTAAAGAGAGACTGGCATAGACACCAGTGTTCTGAATGGGTTAAGTCAAACTGTTCTTTGATCATTCCTGTGCACCTGCAATGTCCCTGCCCTTAGTTCTCCTTCCTCCATTTAATTTTCTTAGTAGTTTCACCTCTTATATTTAGGACAAAATTCAGCCTATTTGACTTCATCTTGGGTCTTAGCACAGTCAACACTGCCATCATCACCCCCTTCTTCTCCATCTGAATACTCACTACTCTCACATACACCCTTAATTAGATTGAAGCACAATTGTATCTGTTTTGTGCCTGCGCATCCCCAAAGGACATCCATGCTAGAGGGATGTCTCCTAATTCTACACAGATCATTTTCCAGTCCATTTATCAGATCCTGAACAAGGAGTAAATCATCTATCCTAGGGCATGTTTTGCTTTTTTAATTGGTAAGGTGTTTTTCTCAAATGTGAAGAACAGGTGATAGTTTCTTATACTCTAGAGTGCTTTATTCCAGTCTTTTATTTCTATTTAAGATGCATTGATTCTTTTGTTCTGATTAGATTTTAAAAGTGAGAACACTACTCCTGATAGTCTACAAATCATTGATTTATTAATTGTGTGTTACTTGACTGGGAAGCATGCCAAGGGATTTGAAGAGGCTGATCATCAAACATTATTCAGAAGCTGTTTAAGAAGAGTAAGAGGAATGGAGATTATTTACAAGAATTTCACAGATTGTTGATATAGAATGTGTCATTTCCATTTAGGGATTAGTGGCTTCATGAATAAATGAAAGGGATTTTCAAGGATCTGAGGCTTTTCTCTCACAGGTCTTGACTAGTGATTCATATCCTATGTATACTAGACTATTTTTAACCAATGATTTTTTTCCTTAAAATTTGGTTCATGTTATATGTCTGCAATTTCATTAGCCTTAAATAATATATTAAGTGTAGCCCGTAAACCTATAGAACTCTTTAAAAAGTGAAACAATAAATCAGTATGTTTTTGTGTTTACAGTGGGATCATGAAACCTGGTCTTAATGCCTTCGTGGGACCCCAAGGTGGAGGCAAATCACTGTGAGTATAACAGAAAGCACAAATAAGTCTTTTGGTGCTGTTTCTGTGTGCTTTTACAAATCACATGCATTTTCTTTTCATGTCTTGTCTGGGCCTTTGTCCTATGGATAATGTGCATTTGGACTATCTTATGGTTTTAATCCTAGGACCAGGAATTCTTATTAAATTCAGCATTACAAACACAGCATGATAAAGTAATTAGCACAAAGCAGTTGACCTTGTTATGAGATAATGAGAAAGGAAAATAAAGGAATAATATTAAAAGTGTAGATAAGGAACTGAAGGTCTCAGTGGGACATACCTCAGAGGTAAAGGCTCCTATTGCTTGGGTTGGATCCATAAAGATGAGGGTCACTTGGAAGATCTGTACTGGATAAACCAATGATATCTTGCTTTAATTTTTTTTGGCTTTCTTATACCACATGATAAAGGAAAGTAAGAATTTGTGTGTCTGCGTGCATGTACACGCATATGTTAAACCACAGAATATTTTGGCTAGTTCACTTTCTAACCTGAACAGAATTTGGATTCAGAATAGGTGAGAGATGTGAACTTTGTAGTAAGGAAAAATCTCACAACATGTGTGTCCTTTTATAGGTTATTAGATATCTTAGCTGCAAGGAAAGAACCAAGAGTATTATATGAAAATGTTTGGGTACATGAAGTACCTCACCCTGACAATTTCCAATGTAATTCAGGATATGTGGTACAGGTAAGTATGGGTGGGTTTTCCTTTTAGGTTTCCCCTGTTTCTATATGGGCAAGAGCCTTGGCTTGTAGTATACCATGCTTCCAATTAAACATGCTCAAGGAACCAATCTTATTTACACCGAATTTACATAATCTCCCTTAAGACTGACAAAGAGGTTAAAAGGAGAGGAAGAAATGATCTGGAATATGAACCTGTAGGCAATGGTAACAATTCTAACTTTGAATCATTTCCAAAGGGTCTACTGTTGCCCTTTTGCCCTTCCTTCACCTCTCTTTTTCTCCTAAAAGATGCCCCTGTCAAATCCTCATATAAAGTATTCTGGAAGTGCTTAGAAGTCACCATAATCACCTGTGCTCCGTCTGGGTGTGCAGATAGGGAAGGAAAATTATTCCCTGGGCTCTGAAGCTCTGTGGAGTCACTGAAATGTTTAGAGTTGAAAGTTCACCATTACCTAGAAATTTTCCATGAGTTTGTTATTTTTGTGAATAAACTTAAACATTCGCTGGAGTGATGGTCTTAGAAAAGACTCAGTATGACTCACTGAAAGCACATTTCCCTTCAGGATGATGTCGTGATGAGCACCCTGACAGTGAGAGAAAACATGTGGTTCTCAGCTTCTCTTCGACTTCCAACAACTATGTCAAAGAAGAGAAAAAATAAGCGAATCAAAAAGGTCATTGAAAAGTTAGGTCTCTGTGAAGTGGCAGATTCCAAGGTAATGTGAAAATTCCTGACAGATTCATAACCAGGAAAGAAGACTTCCCTATGTGGGCAATATGACCTTAATCAGAAGTTTCCTAAGATGTGTGTGGTCAAAACTGGCTGCTTTCTGTAGTGATAAAAAGAAGTGTCCAGATTCCTACTTTAAAGGGGTAAATTAAGTGAAGAAATAATCTTAACCGTGATCTAATCCTGGGGTGGAGTTGGTCTATGTGGAGAGAGCCCCGAACAGCCCACCCTCATTGCTCAAGACACAGATCATTTGATGTCTTTGCACTTTTCTTGTTGTTTATTTCTTTCCTTTTTTACTTTTCTTCTCCCTCTCTTCTTCTGGGGGACATTGTTGTATTGTTTTCTGAAATACACTTCTGTGTTTCATAAATGACAAGAATTCAAGGATTTTTTTAAATGGGTTCTTTTTAGTTGCACATAACACTATGATTCATTTTGACATAATTAGAAAAGCATGGAATATAGTTTGTTCTGGTTCAGTCCCCAAAGCTTTCGCTTCCCCTTCTAACCTCCCTGCCCTGTATCCTTCCCTCTACTCTACTGAAACTTCAGCTATTTACTTATAGTTTTTTTTTTTAATTAATGTCTTTTGGATTTACATGATGGGAAGATTCCCTGTTGTTTATTCATATAGGCACATAGGAAAGTTTGGTCAGACTCATTCCACTGTCTCTCCTTATCTCACCCCTCCTTCTCCTCTTCATCCTCTTTTTTCTATCTCACTGAACTTTCTTCTAGTTTTCTTATTTTGGATTAGCTTCCACATATCAGAGAAAACATTTGAACCTAAGCTTTGTGGAACAGGTTACTTTCATTTAGTGTGATAGACTTCTGTTCCATCCATTTACTGGCAAATGGCATAATGTCATTCTTTATGCTTTAGTAAAACTCCATTTCATATTTTTACCACTTTATTTTTTCTGCCCATTTATCTCTTGATGGACACCTAGTTTGATTCCATAACTTGGCTATTGTGAATTGTGCTGCTTTAAACATTGATGTGACTTTATCACTATAGTATATGATTTTAAATGTTTTGGATATATCAAGGAGTGGGCTAACTGGGTGAAAGGATTCTTTCATTTCTAGTATTTAAAGGGATCTCCACACTGCTTTCCAAAGTGGTTGCACTAATTTTTAGTCCCACCAACAATGTATGAATGTACCTTTTTCCACATCCTAGTCAACATTTATGGTTACTTGTATTCTTGATAATTGCCACTCTAACTAGATCAAGAAGAAATCTCAATGTAGTTTTAATTTGCATTTCCTTGATTAGCAGATATTAAACACTTTTCATGTATTTATTGAGAGTTTGTATTTCTCCTTTTGAGAAGTCTCTGTTTAATTTCTTTGCCCACTTACTGATTTGTTCATTTATTTATTTGGTGTTAATTTAAAAAAAAATTCTTTGTATATTCTGGATATCAATGCCCTGAGAAGCAGATGGAAAACATTTTCTCCCATTCTGTAGGTTTTCTCTTCATGCTCTTAATTCTTTCCTCTGCCATTCATAAACTTTAACTTGATGCCATCCCACTTATTGAATTTATTTTATTTCTTGCACTTTAGGAGTCTTATTTAAATAGTCAGTTCCTTTGCTGATTTATTGGAGTGTTGGGCCTACATTTCCTTTTAGCAGGTGCAGGGTTTCTGGTCTAATTCCTAGGTCTCCAATTCAATTTGAGTTGACATTTTTGCAGAGTAAGAGGTTGGAGTTAAATTTTATTCTCTTCCATATAGATTTCCAGTTTTCCCAGGACCATTGGTTAAAAAGGCTATCTTTTCTCCAGCATATGTTTTTGGCACCTTTGTCTAGTATAAGATAATTGTTTTATGTGGGTTTGTCTCTGTGTCTTCTGTTCTATTCTGTGGTCTTCATACCTGTTTGGTGCTAGCTGTTTTTGTTACAATAGCTGTGTACTATAATTTGATATCTGGTGTTGTGATGCCTCCTGCTCTGCTTTTCTCCCCTAGGATTGCTTTGGCTATTCTGGGTCTTTTATTTTTCCAAATAAATATTATAAGTGCTTTTTATAGTTCTGTGAAGATTGTCATTGGAATTTTGATGGGATTTGCATTGAATCTGTACATGCTTCTGGTAGAATGCCATTTTGATAATATTAATTCTACCTATATAAGAATATGAGAGATTTTTCCATCTTCTAAGGTCTTCCTCAATCATTTTCTTTATTCCAGTCCTATTTTGTATTTTATTTAAAGACAGGGTTTTACTGAGTTGCTTACTGCCTCACTTTTGCTGAGACTGGCTTTGAACTCATAATCCTCCTGCCTCAGCCTCCTGAGCCACTGAGATTACAGGCATGCACCACTGAACCCAGCTATTTTCTTAAGAGTTCGATATTTTTTATTGTAGAGATCCTTCACCACTTTTGTTAGATTTATTCCCAAGTATTTTTTGAGACTATTGTGAATAGGATAGTCTTTCTAATTTATTTTTTAGTTGATTCATCATTAGAGTATAGGAATATGATTGATTTATGAGTGTTGATATTGTATCCTGTTACATTACTGAATTCACTTATGAGTTCTCAAAGTCTCCTGCTGGAGTTATTTGAGTCTTCTGAATATAGTAGTATCATATCATCAGCATACAGAGATAATTTAAATTCTTCTTTTCACATTTGCATTTCTACAGATTCCTTCTCTTGCCTGAGTGCTCTGGCTAGAATTTCAAGAACTATTTTGAAAAGGACTTGTGAAAGTGGGCATACTTGCCTTGTTTCTGTTTTTAGAGGAAGTGATTTCAGTTTTACTCCATTCAGTATAATGTTGGCATTGGGTTTGTCATATATATCATTTTAATGTTCAATTAAATTTCTTCTGTCTGTAGTTTTTCAAAATGAATGGGTGTTGTACTTTGTCAAATGGTTTATCTGCAACTATTGATATTATCATGTGATTCTTGTCCTTAAGTCCATTTATATGGCAAATTACAGTTATCAATTTCTGTATGTTGAGCCAAACTTGCATCTCTGGGATAATACCCACTTGATCTTGATGCACTACCTTTTTAATATGTTTTTGTCAACATCGTCAAGATTTTCTAGCTTATTGGGATATACATTTTCAAAATAGATTCTGTGGTGATATTTCCTTTTTCATCCTGAATTTGTTTTTTAGCCTTCTTTCTTTTTGTTAGTGTTTATCAATCTTGTTTATCCTTTCAAAAAACCAATTCTTTCTTATGTTGATCTCTCCAATCTTTTTTCTTTTATTATTCTCAATTTCATTGATTTCTCCTCTGGTTTTAATTATTTCCTATCTTCTACTGATTTTGGTGTTGGTGTATTTGTTCTTGTTTTTCTATGGCCTTGAGATGTAATGTTAGATTATTTATTTGTCATCTTTCTATTATTATAATATATGAGCTCAATGCTATGAACTTAGAGATTTTGATGTGACCCTGACTTTCAGGGTCTGGGTTGAGAAATGAGTTGAAGTTTGGATTGGTATTACTATTCTCATTTACTTCTAATTTTTTTATTTCTCCTCTGATTTATTCTACTATGCATTCATCATTCAAATGTGTAGTATTTAATCTCCTGGTGTTAAAGTGGTTTTTTTTTAATATTATAATTGATTTCTAACTTCATTCCTTTATGATCTGATAGAATGCAAGGTATTTTTCTCTATTTTGCAAAGATTTGCTTTATGACCTAAAACATGGTCTATTTTAGAAAAATTTCCACGTGCTGCTGAGAAGAAGAAAGTGAAACAAGTCATTGATTGATGAACTATTTCATGGATGACTATTAGCTCCACTTATTAATTTTATTTTTTAATTCTGTAAAATCCTTGTTTAGTTTATGTTTGAAGGATCTCTACAGTGGTGATAAAGGTTTGTTAAAAATCACCCAGTATTAGTGTTTTGTTGATTTATAATATTGATTTAATTTTTTAAATTAAAAATTTTGTTTGTTGGATGTATGTAGATGCTCTTTTGTTTGAGGGACTAATATTTACAATCATTATATTTTTGATATGCTCCCTTAGGCAGCATGAAGTGACCTTCTTTTTCTTTTCTGATTTATTATGTCTTAATGTCCATATTATCTGATATGAGAAGAGCTGCCCCTGATTGTTCATGAGTAAAATTTGAATGGTATGTCTTTTTCATCCTTTCACCTTCAGTCTGTGGATGTTTTTGCCTGTAAGGTGAGTCTCTTGGAGACAGCATAATTTTGGGTCCTGTTTCTAAATCCAATCTGCCAACCTGTGTCTTTTGATTAAGATTTCAGACCATTTACTTTCAAATTTGTTATTTAGAGATGATTTTTATTCTCTGACATTTTGTTTTATTTCTAATGTTTAAAGTGGACTTGATTCTCCTTTGACTATTCTACTAGTACACTTCATTCCTATGCTGCTTATCATTTTTATTCTTCATTTCCTTTTCATAAAATTTTCCCGTGAGTGTATCTTCTAGGTCAGGCTTTCTAGTTATAAATTCTATTGGTTCTGTTTAGCATGGAAGGTTTTTATTTCAACTTCAATTCTGAAGTTTAATTTTGCTGGCTATGGAATTATTGGTTGGCATCAATTTTATTTCAGAGGTTGGTATATATTATTCCAAGTCCTCCTGACTTTCAGGGTCTGGGTTGAGAAATGAGTTGTAATTTGGATTGGTTTAGCTCTAAATGTGACCAATCATTTTTCTCTTGCAGCTTTTATAATTCTCTCCTTATTTTGTATGTTAGGCATTTTCATTATAATGTGTCTTAGAGTGGATCTATTATGATTTTTCTATAATTGGAATTCTTATGCCTCTTTTATTTAAATTTCTATCTCATTCTTAAGGCTTGGAAATTTTTCTAGTATTATTTTATTCAAAAGACTGTGCATCCCTTTAGCTCAAATTTCAGAGCCTTCATGTATCCCAATGAATCTTAAATTTGGTCATTTAGTGTTATCACATTTTTAAAAATATTTTATTTATGGTCTCTTAACCTCTTTTCTTTATTGTCAGCTTTATTTTCAAGATTATATACTTTGTCTTTGAGGTCTGAAAATCTCTCTTTGAAGTAGTTTAATTTATTGGTGATGCTTTCATTTAAGTTTTTAATTTGGTTTCTTGAGCCTTTCATTTCTAACATTTCAATTTGATGCCTTTTCAGAATTTTTTTATCTTTATTGAAATAATCTTTACTTCCTGTATTTTCTTTCAATTTCACTTCTTACTTCTTCCTTTAGGTCATAGAACATTTTACCTATGAACTTTCTAAATTCTTTCTCTGACATTTCCTCTACTATAATGTTGATGAAGTCAGTTGAAGCATTATGGGAAATTTGGGATAGTTCATTCTCTTGCCTTTTCATACTGTTTGTATGTCTATCCTTGTATGGGTATAGTTCTCACTTCTTCTTTTAAGGGAGGGACTATTTTGTGAGTTTCTTTCTCTTAAGAGTCCTGGGTAGGTTGAATATCCACATAATGATTTTTTATTTTTTATACAAATATCCCAGTATTATCCCAATATCAGCACTACTTTCAGAGTAGTGCTGATATTGGGATAATATTAGGATATTTATTTTTTTATTATAATTGCTTCTGTGCCAAGCCTCATGCTGTTCAACCTTACGAGAAACTAAAACTTCTTGCTATTTGTTTTTTATTGTTCCTCAAATCTAGTGTAAGCTTGGAATAAACTTCTCTAACAGGCAAAAAATGGGTATTTAATTTAGTAAAATTACTATACTTAAATGAGGGCTAAATGGGGAAAAGGAGAAAGATTGGGCAAACGGAGAGGGAAAAGAGATACTGAAAATAAGAAAGAGAGAGTAAAGTTATAAAAGGGTAATTCAGACCCAGATATAGAGGAGAAATAGATAGATGTTATATATCTGAAATAGTAGCAGATAAGGCAAGAAGATGAATTAGGGTTAAGAGGAACATTTATCAGCTAGTGCTAGAAAAGCAAAGATAGGAACATTGCTTCCAATTAATGCTTTAAACCATTGGATGAAATACTTTCAAATGGGTTGAGGGTACAATGTTAGTTATTGGGTAACAACTATCATTCAAGTTAAAGAGTTATATATATTATCAAAGTTGATGTTAGAATTGATTATAGTAAACCATGCCGAGGCAAAGAAAAGCCTTGTTAAATTTTGATTTAGATTTCAGTGCGGTTTGGACATTTAGGAGATTACCATCATTCTTTGGCTGTGGATCCGTCCATATTACAGGGGCATAGGAGCCAATTCGCAAGTTGCTGTGAACCTCCACCATGCAGTTCTGGTTTGTCAGCTCAGGGGCTTGAAGCTGTCTGCTTGGAGGGTGCAGTGTTGTATGTTGGTTGTTTTTATTGTGCGTAGGAGTTCAGATGCAGAATCTGGAGTGTCCCTATGAGTGCTGTGGGTCACTGTGTACCTCTTACCCTCTATCAGATTCTTTTAGTGGTGGTGAGGATCCTGGTGACTGACTGAGTGCAGCAACTCTATGAGCACAGGAACTCTGTGTTCTTTGATGCAGCTGTCTGGGTATGGGAAATGGCCATGGTGATTTAAGGGATAACTTTAAGGGGTGGAAGGACTGTGGACTCCAGTTCAGTTTTCTTTTCAGATTTGGTTTTAAACTATTTGTTCTAAGAACCCTGCTGTTCCTGTCACACTTTAAATTTTGTCTGCCTTTCTACTTGTTTTTAAGTGGGTGAGCTTAAGAGTTTTTCTGCTCCCTCCTTTCTCTCTCTGTTGCCCTGTCCCACTTTACCGATCTGGTTCAGTTTTAGGGTTAGGGGACTCTGTGCTCTTTTCCTACTCTGGTAACCTATCATCAAGTTTCTCCAGGTCTTAAACTTTGTAATATTGCATCTTAAAGCATTTGTTTTGTCACCCAAATCTTAATTCTGCTTTTCCTTCACTACCTCCTTCTGTGTGAACTGATTGGGACTTGCTAATTCTTGTGCTGTGATTCACTTTGTTGTAATTGGGCTTCCAAATGATATTTGTTTACCTCTGGAGTTACTTCTAATTTGTGGAGTGATAAAGTTATTTTGTAAAGCCTTTCTTCTTTCTTTCACAGTTTTCTTTTCTCATTCTCTCCAGTCTTTTTTGTTGTTGTTGTTTTTTATTTCCAGACTCTTACATCATTCTCTTTGATTTCTCATTTGTTTACCTCTTCTCACATAATTGCAAAAGGAAATAAGTACATTTACTTACCTTATCAACACATTATCAATCAACAAAATGTCTCTAAAAAATGTGTCTGTATAATCAGCTGTTTTAAGTCCATATTTTTTGTCACAATCATGGTTTACAATATACAATAGCTTTAGACTCGTGATTGATGAAGATTTAATACAAATCATTTTTTTAAGTTCCCAATTTTTAAGGTTTTCTTAATCTTAAAAATTCTTTTTGTTTTGTTTTGTTTTACAGGTAAGTAGATCAACATGGATATAAAGGGAGGATGAAAAATAGGACAGACATTTGACATTCAGTATCTTGTTGACTTTTTCCTTTGTAAATTATTCATTGTATCCCCCAACTTCAATACTGATTAGCTTGTCAAAAGTTGAATTCCATAAGATTCCAGGACATTGGTCGTAATTTGTTACTTAAAGTAGAGAAAAAATTTAAGAAAAATCTCCTGTAGGGAAAGGTTTCCTAAAACTCCAAGCAATTACATTTTTAGTATACTTTTCTTTTGAAGGTTTTTATCTATTTAGGGAGATATATAAAATTAACTAGAGTGATAGTAGTGGTAATATCATGTATTTGTGTAGCACTTTTAATATTAAGCATCAACTCTATATTTATATTCAAGTGTTTTTATTAGTTTATAATAATTATACAGAATAATAGATTCCATTGTGGCATATTTGTACAAGTATATGACATTTTGATAAAGGTACCCAAATGTCTTTTATAGTTCATTTGTTAATAATACCCAATCAAGGGCCATGAGTAGCATTTGGATATCATCTGTGTGGAGACTCCAAATTCCAGATGTGTTTTCTACTTCCTTCCTCCCCAAAACCTTCTTTCTCCCCTGCATATATATTTACTCATTGCAAAGACTGGGCCAGTTGCCCTGTGGAATATTTGATTTTCTGGATTTTTCTGAAAAGATGAATCAGGAATTCCAAGGTAAGTTAAGGTATAGAAAACAACATTTTGGGGAAAAAAATATGAAATTGGAAAGATGCTAAAATGGTATGGTAAAAAGTGTACATTCCTGGCTCCGACTTGACTCTCTTTATCAATCCCCTTGGGATTGTTTTGTGAGGCAGTGTGTCAGTGGGAGGTGGTTAGAAAAAACTGAAAGATCGATATAGTTAGTTTCCTCTCCTATCTTAGTAGGGATTTTTTTTTTTTATGTCAGAGTCATATTTTTTTTTTTAGTGTTGTAACTTACTCTCTTAAAACTAAATACTTGACTTGGTGAGGAACATACAGGACTATTAGAGCCTGAGCTTTAATAACACATGATATTACCACTACTATCACTCTAGTTAATTTTATATCATATCAGGTGCAGTCACTTGATAACTTTGCTCTGGGCCTCACCTTATGCATATGATAAGAGAAACCTCTCCTTCTCCCAGGTGTCATTTACTTAACATACAGAATAATCAACATAATGAGATAACATGTCTCTATGAAGAATGGTACAGGTTAATTCATCAAATGACAGTGACTACATTCATTCATGTGGATGATGATAATAATTCGTGTTTTAGGTGAAATCTAAAGGAGAAAGAAAAATGATTTGCATAGGAATGGAGCTGATCCTTGATCCTTCCATCTTGTTCCTGGATGAGCCCACAACTGGTTTAGACTGGAACACAGCATATAAGGTCATTAAACTCCTGAAAAGGTAAATGCTATGGCAACGTTGTTTTTTAATTTATTTACTATCTGTTCACCTGGTATTCTTGGTGCAGAGAATTCAGAATCTAAAAAAGTGCTCCTCTTGGTTAGTGGAATACAGTCAATAAACAAGAAGTGGTTCAAGAAAGATGAAACAAGAGCATAGGGAAGGAAGTTCATGTAAAGTTGGGAAGCTTTTAAAATAGCAAAAAGGTCAGGTAAGACCACAAGCATGTGACACATGAGCTGAGAGAGAGAGAGAGAGAGAGAGAGAGATGTACTGTAAATTCAGAAGAGAGTTCTGGTTGTAAGAAGTAGTGGCCCTGAGGCAGGTCATATCTGGTGTGTGGACATCAGAGAGGCCAGAGGGACAGACCCATGGACTAAAGGTAGTAGAGGTTGGCTGGGGGCTTAACAAAAAAATTTAATTTTCTTATGCCTCTGGAAGTAGAAATTTGAGATCAATGCATCCTCAGGGTTGTTTATTCCTTAGCCTCTCTCCTTGGCTTGTAGATGGCCATCAACTTCATTGTGTGTCTTTGTCCTAATTTGCTCCTAATTGGAAAGGCAGATGAGGGACTTTCGAAGACCACATTTAACTTTAATAACATCTTCAAAGGTGCTGTGTCCAATGTGGCCACATTTTGTGGCACTAGGGGATATGGCTTCAACACCTGAGTTTGTGGAGGACCCAGTTCAGACCATCACAGGTGGATTAGGATATGAGGTGCAGTTGGGCTCTTGGCAGATTGCATAGATCTCAGGCCATCTCAGATGTGTGCTTTTCCTGTCCCTAGGGGACATGGGGATGGTTTGAGAGTTTTAGAGCAGAGCAATGACTGTGGAGAATACTGTGCAGTTGGGCAAGGGTGAGGGAGGACCCCATGAAGGAGTTGCTGAGGGCGGATGGAGCTTTGACTACGATAATCATGGTGAGAATTGGGCAGTTTCTGGGTCTGTTTTCAAGGGACTCAACAGGATCAGCTCAGGATTAGACTTGGGATGGGAGGATGGAGACAAACTGCTGATATTTGGGGCTTGAAGATGTGGAAGAATGAAATGAAAGAAATGACTTTCCTCTTACAAGAAAGAAAAATATGAGGGATCAATTATAAGAAAATTTCAATAGCTGAGATTTAGACATCATCTCCAAAAATATAGAAAAATATTTCATACTGACAGAAAGGATGCAAATATAATACAGATGAAATCCTACTCTTCTCACCTGGATTCCTCACTGTCATACTTCACTGCATCTATAGCCCCTCCTGCTCTCTCTGGAGCTCCCTACATATTTTTTTTTCTGCCATCATGCCCTTCCACTCCAAATACTACTTATTCCAATGAGGGAGGCCACACCACTGTCTGCACTCCCCAGGCAATAAGCATGGCTTGCCAGGATTCAATCCAGGGCTATTCAGATTTCACCGCTTCTCCATACCGTCTATTTACACTCAGCACTCATTGAATGACATGGCTCCCAGGCAATCCCATTTCCATCTTCCAGACATTTCCCAACTCATTATGGCCTTTAAAGTTGCAGTTTCTAAGTGAAGGGTTTATCATGAGTTTGTTTTGCTCCTCACTTTAGTTATTTTTTCACCCAACACAACACCAAGACAAGCATACACATAAGCACTGCTTATTGTGTGACACAGAACTTCTTCTGGTACTTTCAGAATAGACCTGTTCACTTTACTCTTTGTTCACCTTGTTCTTTAACCGTGAGTATCTCTTTTCTTAACTCACTCCTGTTAGTGCTTTCAATATTCTACTTATATTATTTTAAGACTGGGTTGTAACCCTCTGTTTGTTTACAAGGAACCATTAGCTACTTCTAATCATCATATTGAAATTACAGATTCCCATCTTGTGTTTCTCATTGAATGAGAACATTCTTGGATACATTGCTAGATGCACAAGGTGCTTATCAAATTTTTAAATTAAAATGATTCTTCTCTTAAAATAATTTAAATAACTGTTTTGAATAGTGACTGTGGCTTTTGTTTCTTCTACCCATAAGTAATAACTTCTATAAAAGATAGTTTAGCAGTGTTCCTAGCTTAGCATTAGTTCAGAGCTCAGATCCCCAACTTGCCCCTTAGTAACTGTGAGTCCCTTTTCAGTTGCTTGACCTTTAAGCCTTATCTGTAAAATGGAGGGAAATGATAATATTAGAATTGCCTTATAACAACATTTTGTAAATGGAAATGAGTCTAACTCTAAAGCATTTAGTGAAGATATTCTGAGTGCTTAGTAATAATAGATCATGAGGATAGAAGTGAAAACCAATTCCTAATGAGCCAGAATAGTTAAATGATCAATGAGAATTAGTTATATGATATTTTTTTAATCATTGGTCCATAACTACTCCTCAAAATGAGTGTACTTAGAGATTATCTGTGATGCTTATTAATAATACAGATTCATTATACTTAACTCCAGATATTGTAATTCACTGTCTGGGAAGACTATATAGGAACCTGCATTTTCACTAAAATTCTAGCCAATTCTAGACTGTTGATGCATCAAATTTTAAGAATCTTTATCTTCTTTAAAAAAGATTAAATTTAGGTTCCCCGGTTTCCAAGTATGAGATATGGAATATGACAAACCCTAAAATAGTATGGCTTGGACAGAGGATGTAAAAAGAAAATTAGCACATTAAAGGCATTGATCCTTTCCCAGTTCATTCTTCCCAGTGACAGAACAATCCCTAGAAAGGAAGCCAAAGCATTAATCCTTTCCCAAATAAACCCTTTCCCAGTGACAGTACAGTAGGACCCTGAAGGGAAAGAGACAAGCACTGTACGCTGACCCCAGACCCTCCATTCTTCCCCAAGTAAAAATATTTCCCAGTAAAAACAAATTTTCAAATTCTCACAAACCTATTACCTGAGTGCCCAAACTGCCCACTGACCCTAGACCTCTCCCATTTCACCCAGTAAGTCATACCCCAAATTCCTAAGTGCCCTAAACTAATAAGATCATTAGTTAAGTCACCTCTCAGTATAGCTTATATAAGCCCAGAAGCCTCCTTTGTCCAGGGGCTCCACCAGAAGAGTGGGTCCATTCCTGTGAATGTAATCCCCTTCTGGAATAAAAGGCTGAAATGATCCATGAAGTTTGCACCCGGCCCGGTCCTTTTGTGCTAATATCAAGTATAAATTGAAATGAGAAGTTTGTGAGATGAGATCAAGTTGAACTGAGAGAAAATGCTCTACTGACAGGAATAAAGTATTTTACCAAGAAGTGCAAGGTTTGGAAGTTTAATAATTCATTATTTTCCCTTTTTCACTTAGCCTTTCAGAGCAGGGATGAACAATCATCTTCTCTATTTATCAGCCTCAGTATTCCATCGTCCAGCTATTTGACAGCCTCACCATATTGGCCTCAGGAAAACTAATGTACCATGGTCCTGCCAAGATGGCTTTGGAGTACTTCAAATCAGCAGGTGTAGTTGACCTTTTCATGCATGATCCTTCATTCATAGACTCCTGGGGAGAGCAGAGGGAGTAGCAACAGTGCTGCTTGATCTTTGCATAGACCTAACTGGATTTTCACCACCCTAAAACATTTTTGATCAGTTTGGTGCCAGAGTGTTCCTTCATTTTGCAGCACTTGCTTATTATTCAGGGCTCTCTCTTTCTCTTCTCCTACGTGAGTATGCATAGTGTGTGTGTGTGTGTGTGTGTGTGTGTTGGGGGGTGGAATATGCGTGTATTTCTCATGGGCCATTCATTGCCTGTTCTATCCCCAGTTGTGGTAACCTTTCCCTTACAGTTAAGTAATTAACATGTTGGATTTACAGCTAGTTATTTTGTCGGTTGAACATTTTTTAAAAGTCCCAAATCATTGCCTTTTGGACCATGTAACACATTGTTGTTTTCCAGTATTTCCCCTGACACATGATCTTGCTCTGTCTTCCTGAGGGTTCATGAGATGCTGCTGCATTTTCTAGTAACTTTAGTTTGAAGATGTAGATCTTGAGTGGTGTGGTCTTGAGTGGAATGGCTGGCCCTGAATCTGACATTAATGGACCAACACTCCAGGCTGCTTGGTTCTTTCTATTTCAGATTAAATATTATGATTTCTTTAATGGCTTATCCATCTTCTTCTTTTTAGAAGTTTTTGGGTATTTTTATAGATGTTTCTCCATGACCCCAAATCAAATTGTTAATATTATCTTCCTCAATTTGTTTTTATTAAATCTTTGTTGTTTAAAAATAATCAAACACATGTGAATCTCTGGAATCCAGGGAAAATGAAGTGAAAAGTCAGAGCTCAGGCCAAGTTTAGATGATCGTGCCACAGGAAGTTGAAGTGAGATGAGAGCTCAGGTGTGCTGTGCTGGTCACATTCTCTTGATAGTGCTTCTATGGGAATTTCTTGTCTATTTGGGGTTATGGCAGCTTGAGAGGTAATTTTTTGGATCTATGGATTTAGTAGGTAGCCAAGCAATCCTTGCTGATATGCATATTGCTGTTTCAGCATTCTTTACATGAACTGAAAGTGCACAAGAAACTTAATATTTTTTCTTGGACCTATATTTAGATTTTTGAAGAAGTACTAATACGCACCAAGACATATTGAAAGCTACTTGGGGTTCAAAGATTTATGAGAAGTAAGGATTAATATAAGATGGTCTATAGATTTCAAAAATGTTTTGGAATATTTCTTTTTAACTTGGGGACAGAGTGTATGAAATATTGTAGGACTAAATGTATAAGAGGAAAGGATAAATCAGTGAGACGAAAAGAGAGCAAGGAGAAAGAAGTTATTGAGTCAGTCTTCCCTAGCCTTACCTCCATCAGACTTACTGAGTCTGCTCTATTTTCCAAGACCTATGTGGAGTTCTTGCTGGTGTCTTTTCTAGGTTACAGCTGTGAGCACTACACCAATCCTGCTGAAGTCTTCTTTGATGTCATTAATGGTATAATAAAGCAAAAGTCAGAAGGTATGTGAATCTCTAACATTTCCATATTTTTGCCAAATTAAGTTGGTTAAGGTTTAGCAATGCAGTAGCTCATTAAAACACAGCCTAGTGAATTTACATATTAATATGGTGACCAAATAAATTTAGTTGTCAGTGAATACTGTGAGTATTTTTATCTAATTTACAAGTGATTATGTTGGTTTTTTTGTACTCAAGTTTCAGAATTTAGGAGTTATACAAATAAGAGTTCACAGAAAACCTGGTAAAACTGGTAGTAATCTGTTACTAATGAGGTAGTAATCTGAGGCCTGTTATCCACTTTTATTCCAGCCAACAACACTGAAATGCCTTCAACGAATGAAAAGTCAGTCATAGAAGCATTAGCTGATTTTTATGAAAAATCCCCCATCTGTGGAGAAACAAAATCTGAACTAGAACGAATCTCAAATGATCAGAACAAGAAGAGCTTATTCAGGGAGGAGATCACCTATGTTACCTCTTTTGGTCATCAGCTCATAGGCATCACCTGGCGTTCATTCCAAAACTTGGTGGGTCGTCCCCAGCCCTGGATAAAACAGGTAACTGACAGATTCTTCTAATTATGCTGTGAAATAATCATGTGAGAGCTATTTGGTTCTGATATGAACTGCTCCAGAATTATTTTATCTTCTACCCATCCTCCCATTTATTTGTCATTCCTATTCTATTTGAGATATAGAGTCAATTGAACCAGTGTAATAGTTTGGAAATGATGTTAAGTCTTCCCCCAAAGACTCATGTGTTGAAGGCATAGTCCCCATAGAGCAGTATTCAGAGGTGAGGCTCTTGGAAAGTGGTTGGATCATCTGACCTCATCAAAGGATGGAGGGATTCATAGTTTGGTGGCAGTATTGGGAGGTTGGGAAAGTAGGAGGTGAGGCCTAATTGAAATAAGTGGTCTGTGGTGGGGGGTTGCCCTGGAAGGGACTATCTTGTCTGTGGTTCCTCCTTTGCTCTCTCTGCTTCCTGGCTGCCGTGAGGTAAGCAGCTTTTCTTCATCATGCCCTCCTGCCATGATGTTCTGCCTCACCTCAGGCCCAAAACAATCTAGCTAATAGACCATGGACTGAAACCTCTGAAACTGTGAACCAAAATAAATCTTATCTCCTGTCAGTGTCCTTTTTTCTGTGACCAAAATAGCAGAAAACAACTTCCGGAGGAAAAGTTAATTTGAGTCTCATGGTTTCAGAAAGTCTCGGTTCATAGAGGACTGACTCCATTGTTCTGGGCCCAAGGGGAGGTAGCACTTATACAAATAAGTGTAAATGCTCAGAAGCAGAGAGTGAGAGTGAGAAGGGGCCTCAGGAAGAACAATACTTTCTGGGCATGCTCCCCAGTGACCCACCTCCTCCCACCACACCCCATGTGTCTGCAGTTACTACTCAGACATTCCATAGTAATGGATGGACAGGTCAGATTACAGCTGTCACAATTCAACCATTCCACCTCTGAATATTGCTGCATTATCAAATAAGTTTTCAGGGGACACCTCATATGAAAGTTATAATATCTCCTTTAAGTTGATTTTCTTAGGTATTTTTTTCACAATGATAAAAAGCTGAATAACACATCAGGTAAGACACAATTACATTTCTACCTTTGCAATGCTTTTTAAAGTGTTTTCCTGGACTATATAACTCAAAATTTTGATGATGTAGACAAATTTTAATGGAAAATCTTCAACAAAATTTTATTTTTTAAAAAGTGTCAAGAAAAGAAAATATCAACTAAATATAGTATTTTCTAGTAGCTGTCCACAATCATTTATTGATTCATTTGAAAAGTTCAACTCAAGAGTATGTATTCCATTTTGATACTCTACTGGTGAATGAAATGGGTAAAAATTAAAACCTCTACTGGCATAGATTTTATTTTCTTATGAGGACAGAGACATGATATCTGAAAACAGAAAATTCATGGTGTGCCATATGGTAGAAGAGACTATGACGAGGTTTTAAAGAGAAAGAAAATACAAAAGGGGAAGGGAGAAGATAGATGGACTATGGTTGGTTTGCTCTTATATTTATTTATTTATTTTTAATTTTCGGCGGACATAACATCTTTGTTTGTATGTGGTGCTGAGGATCAAACCCGGGCTGCACACATGCCAGGCAAGCGTGCTACCACTTGAGCCACATCCCCAGCCCCGGTTGGTTTGCTCTTGATATCAGACGTTGAAGGAACCTAGTCTTATTGACTATTCCTGATGGTAGTTTGTTCTGTGCACTGTCTGAGGGAAGAGACTGTAGGCAGAATGCTGTTCCTTATAATTGACCCTCCTCGTTAAGAGATTCTAATCCTGGTAAAGCCATAGATGTCTCAAAGAATGTGCAGTTTATGCACAGGAAATAACCAGACTAAACAAGGGCTTAACTCCTTTATATAAGACGTGATGGTGTTCTTTTTTTTCCTTTTACTGGCTCTGTAGTAGTTGTTTCACTTCTAAGGTTTTTTTTTTTTTTTTTTTTTTTCCCCACCGCAGTGCTAGGACTGAATTTAGAGCCTCATACATGCTAAACAATTGCTGTATCCCTGAGCTATAAAGCCAGCCAATTTTTTTATTTATTCATGGCCCTATGTCACACAAAAAACTAGTTCTCCTCAGGTAGTTTATAAGAAAATCAATTTAGCTTGTTGTGGTGGGGTATTATTTTTATTATCAATCATTGAGTTTCTGTGGAATATTTAGATGTGGCTTGGTTTTGGCTCCAAATAACTGACTTCCCTGCACAAGCACCATACTTTTCATTTTTAAGTATTATTGATTTGCAAGTGTGCCTGAGAGCCAGCATCTCCTTCTCAATCATGCTTTCCATCCTGCAAACATTTTTGATCCTTGTGCTTTGGCATATCTCTCAGAACACAGGCATTTTAGTGTCTTGTCAACCAAAAGTTACATTTTATTCTTCATAATAGATGTTATTTCATTTGGAAAATTGTCAGGTGAGTTACATCATGGAACCTTAGTTGCCCATTGTTCAGTAGTGAGATGATGTAGTGATTTGATTCTTTAGAGTAATTTATGCATTAGGTCTTTCTTTTTTGCCTCTATAACTGGTATGTCTTGTCCAATACATATATGGTAGTTACGGGCAGGCATTATTAGAACACACCTATCTGTAAAATACCAGGATTGTGCATGTTTTGGGTCTAGGCTTCCTTAAGGTGCAGACAACAGGTTGCACATTCAGCCTACTTGCCTCATCAGCAAACTCAGTTCCACAGAAGGAATTCCAACAGTGTTCAGAAAAGATGCAGTCTCTAAAATAAGGGTAGAACCTTGTAGTTCCCTGAGTTTAGCAGGACAACTATTGTTCCCGTTTGTAAATGCTGGAATATTAGCTCAGGAGCAGGCAAATACTCTTTGATAAAGGCCCAGATAGTAAATATTTTGGACTTTGAGAGCTATAGATGGCCTTTGTCTGGAGTAGTCAACCCTGCCGCTTCAGCATCAAAGTAGCCACAGCTAATACATATGCTATTCATGGACACTGAATTTTGAATTCTTTAGATGTTCCATATTGCAGGAAATATTATTCTTGATTTGTTTCTCCCAATTAATGGGAAAAAATCTAACCATTTTTAGCTTATATGCTTAAGAAAAATAGGAGGCTAGCCCTATTTGATCTATGTGTTGTAGTTTACTGACCCTTGCACAGGGTTCTTATTCTCACATTATTTTTATTTCTCTAAGTTTGTAAAAATGGAGTTGTTAAAAAGTTTTATGACTCCTGCTGATAATTCTGTATTTATTGTCTTATTGTTGTACTTTGTTCTGGACTTTTTGACATGATTCAGACTTGACATCTAACCAGATAAAATACTGAGAAGATCTAGGAATGAATAGATTATTGGAAAAAGAAGATTTAATGTTCTTTTAATGTGCCAAGTTTTCTGAACAAATCAACTTGGACAACATTATCACTAATCACCTGGAAGTTCATTGTTTATATTCACATAAAAAACAAACATTTGACTATGTATCCTCCTCATCCTCCTTCTACTTCTTTTTTAAGAGAAAGCTACAAACATCACTCAAAACACACCTTGAGAAATGAAATGTTGTTTAAATACATCTGAACAAAAGCAGAGTAAGATGGTTGGAAAATTTCTTTTTTTTATGTCTTTTGAAAGAGACTAGTGGACAGATGCACAAATCTCATAGATAGTGTCATTTGCTCTGTTGTGAGAGTTTCAGTTTGCTCAAAGGCTTTCTTTTTCTTTATGGCAGAAGAAATACCACATATAAACCTTGTGAAAGCATGGTATGATCCAGGATTCATCATTTTGTCAATATGTTTGAAAACTGAAAATATCTAGGAAACATCCTAATGGTAATATTCAGTCAGTGTAAGATGTCAAGTTTGGATGCAAAAGAAGCAAAGAATGCAGAGCATCTATTTGGAAGTCTTAATATCTTAAAAGTCATACTGTGTAAAAGTATAGATTCTTGTATACATGTGTGTGCTGCATGTCAATAGAACCAACTGCATTTGTTTTGAAAGTTTGAGCTATTTAAATGAAATAGAGCATATCCTGAAGGTATTTGAAAAATGTCAGGGCAAAGGATTTTCCTCCCTAAATTTCTCTTATTAGCAAATGAATTTTAAGAACATCTCATAGGTGAAACATTTAAATAATATTGTTTCCAGCATCTGGTCTTTACAAACTAGTATTTACAGACTATGATTCTGTTTTTGCCTTTTGTTTGACTTCTTGCCATAAGTGTCCTTTACAAATTAGCTCATGGCTTGATGTTACAATAATGTTGAGGTTTCTTTTTATTTTGATGTTTCCAAGATATATGGTAGCATATTTTGTTTTCTTTGCACTACAATTTTCTCTATTATTATATTTAAAGCAAGAATAATTATAAGAGGAATTCCTTACATAGACTATATCACAATGTAACCCTTAACTTTTTGACAATTAAATCACTCTTAAGCCACTTTTTATTCTACAAACAAGTGTTATGTTGGTCCATTCTCTATGGGAGCCATTCATACAGACTGTGTAAGTAAAGATGAATGAGAATGGCAAAGAAAGAATTTGAGGCTCAGGTGTGCCAAGTAAATGTAGACCTCACTGGCTGGGATTGGAAGATAAGCAATGTCATTGGAGATGGTCATGGAACCTTTGGGTGTCCTCAACTGGCTGAGTGCTTTGGTGACAGTGACAATGTACTTTCCAGTGCAGGTGGGGATATCCCACAAGTTGGAAAGGTGTCTATTACTACTGCATTATCATTCACAATCCCATTGTTAGAATTTGTATGAGTGTGTGTATATATGTTATTATATTCTTGTTTATCTCTTTATTTGGAAGTGGTGAGGATCAAAACCTAGGATGTGGCATGTGCTATGACAGCATTCTATTGGTAAGCTACCTCCTCAGCCTTGAAATTTCATTCATTTCCAATGATCAGAGTAAAGACATCCTGTTTTTACTTGATCTTCTTGAAGTATAAAGCTGCATGTTCACAGGCATGATAGTTGAGAGTTCAGTTCCAGTTAATGACTGATTTAGAAAGTAGTGGGAATCTGGCCAAGTCATTTAAAGTGTGTATTTTAGTGGAGAAATTTGATTAGGTAGTATGATATAAATAAAATGTAGTATATACATATGATATCCTATCATATGTATATACTACATTTTATTTGTCCACTCATCCATTGCTAAAATATATATATATATATATATATATATATGTATTTTTTTTTTAAATAATAAAATTTTTACATGCAATTGAAACTCTTTTCTTTCTGTTTTCATTTTTTTTCTTTTTGAAAAGATAATTTCCACATTCATTCTGGGAATTATTGTAGGCGCTACTTTCCTTTGGCTAAAAATTGATTGTACTGAAATACAAAATAGGTAAGTAAAATTAGCTCTTGATTTTGAGAAAATTCTGTCACTTTGCTCAAGCTCAGGGGCATCTATTAAGAATTTGAACTTATTGTATCAAAATAGATTCTACTGCTATGTATAACAATTAAAAATAATTTGAATTTATGACAATAGAGGGTAAACATTGGTGTTTTATTATGGGGTAGGGACAGTAAATGTATTGAAAACTGAATAGAAGAGTTAATTTTTTTCACATATATGTATACTTGTGTGGTGGTAAGTTACACACATCTCATACACATCTTAACCATTTCTAAGTGCACAGTTCCGGGACATCAAATATATTCACATTGTCAACTATCACCACCATCCAACTCCAGAGCGTTTCTTCATCTTCCCAGGGGGAATCTTCAACCCACCTAAAAAGAAACCACCCACAGCCACCTCTGCCACCTCTGCAACCATCTGCAATTTTCTGTTTCTGCATTTGGCTATTCTAGGAAGCTCATGAATGTGCAGGCATACTATACTCATCTCTTTATGACTGCCTTATTTACCTTAGCATAATGTCCTTAAGGTTCTTCTAAATTAAGGTATTCTATTTTTTTCTGTTTTAAGGTTGAAAAATATTCTATCATATGTATATACTACATTTTATTTGTCCACTCATCCATTGCTAAAAATAGGGATTGCCTACACATCTTGGTTATTTGTGTGATGCTGCTATGGGTATACACATAGCTATTTGAATTCTGTTTTCAACAGGGCTTTGGAGAAGATACCAGAAGTAGAACTTCTGTATCATTTGGAAATTCTGTTGATTTTTTTAACTAATGCCATACTCTCTTCTACTTCATTTTACCTTCTTAGCAGCAGAACATAGAGTTCCAATCTCTCCACATTCTCATCAAAATTGATTATTTTTTTCTTTTTTGAAATAACAGCGTTCCATTAGATTTTTGAAGATATGTCTGTTTTAAGTCCTTTGCCAGTTTTAAAATAGGATTTTTTTGCTCTTAGCAGGATTTTTTGTTATTGTTGCTGCTAATGTACAGTCCTTTATATTTATGAGTTATTAATCCCTCTTCAGATACATGATGTATGCATATTTTATCCTATTCTGTGGATTTATTTCTCTCTGTTGATAGTACCATTTTTGCACAGATTTTTTAATTTTGATATAGTCCTATTGATCATTTTTCTTTGGAGGTTTGTGAGCCAATTTTCCTAATGCTTTTTATTTGGGAGTATAGGACACATGGACGGAATGGTGTTTATCCTCTCATTTGGAAAGCACTTGTCAGTGTTATGATCCTTTCTAGTTTCAGTCATAAAATGTATCCCCCAAACTTGCATACCAGGATGTCATTTTACACAGTTGCATCATAGTCTGAACCTAGATTCTCAACATCACAGTCCACAGGGCTCTCATCATAATTCATATAAGGAGAACCACTCCTTGCTAGGCATTGAGCTCCATTATTGACAGCTGTGGCTCATGTTACCTACCAATGGCCAGAGAAGTGGATGGTCTCATCCTCATTTTAATATTGATAACCTTTGAGGAATTTGATGTTGAATCTATTTTGATGTCTAGAAAAGGCTTGATTCCAAAAGCTCAGTCCTTGTCCCAGATGTCAGTGCAAATCATGAAAACAGGGTTTTGCAAAACACACAAAAATAAATTTTATTGATTTCCTCTAGTATATGAAAAAGAAAGAGCAGATTAACATTTCCAGAGTTATTGTCCTCTCTACAAGGGGGAACAAAGTGTTATTAAAGGGAAATTCTGGAACCAGACTCCAAGTATACTTTTTAAAGGTATATATAATGTCCACATGGTGCCCTGAAGAAGCCATTGGTCAGATCTGTTGGTACCAGTTTCTATGTTTGCACATCTTACTAATACCAATTTCCTTATTCTTGTTAATGATCTGAACATGTTAACAACCTGGATATGATAGCCCAGACTAGGACACAAAAAAAATGTGAATCTTACTTCCACACACACAGGGAGGGGAAGAAGGAAAATAGGAAGAAAAGAGAATAAAACACATCAGTTTTAAAATAAGCCTCCTGTGTTTGAGCAGGAAAGTTCATACTCAATGCCTGAAATGGATCCCTGTTACAGGCTGGTTGCTTTTAATGGAAGAATAACCATAAAAGTTAATTCTTTACTCAAGTACAGTGAATTTTCCTCTTTATTGAATCAGGTTGTGTTTCCCTATGAAGAGACGATTATTACAGCCGTTTTCCAGAGTTAAGTCTACTTTTTAGCTTCTAAAGGCAGAGATCTCTGGAATTTTTTACAACTCTGCCAATACTTGGTTTATGCCCTGTGTAGATACTATTTCTTAACCAAGCTCAGCATAATCACAGGTTCTCAAAGTTGTGTACCATTTATATCATGTAGCAGGAAGCATTTGGAAAAATATTAAGGAATCTGTCATCAGCTGCAATTTTAAAGTAGTGAAATGCTAACCATTAAATGTTTTAATAGAAAAAAAACAAAGAAATAAATAGGAACTTTAGCAGTTTCTTCAGATGTTTTCTGGAAAAAATGAACACTAACCTCATTTTAATTTGTATTTTTGACTTACAATTGCTACAACTTTTTATAAGTTTGGGCATTGTAAAAGTGGCCAGTGTGTATTGGCTCATCAAATCCATCTTCATGTAATTGATTCTTCAGTTTATGAAAAAAAAATTCAGCCTTATCTCTGAAACCAGATTGTTAGACCTTTCTTCAGGGCTTAGTATCAGTGCCTCAGCATTTGAAGAGGCCAACAGTTTAGTTCTTTGGGGGGACCAAGCAATGTCTTTGCACTCTCTCTTACCCTGTGTAACCAAGGAACTGGGTTAGAATCCTGTGTAGAGTGTGAGCTTATTTGAATAGCCTTAAGAGTTGTGATGATTGCTAAACATATTTGAAAAAAGGTGTTTAAAAAATATTTGGATCCAGTAACCCCACTTCTGTGTATTTACACAAAATATTTGAAGTCAGTTTGTTGAAGAGGGATCTGCACTCCCATGTTCATTGCAGCACTGTGCACAATAGTCGATTCAGAAATCAGTCTAAGTGTCCATCAGCTGACTAACGGATAAGGAAAGTGTGTGTATACACAAGGGAACGCTGTTCAGCCTCAGGAAAAGAAATCTTGCCATTTGTGACAACATGGATAGAATTGGAGAACATTATGCTAAGTAAAATAATCCAGACAGAGAAAGACAAAAGTCACATGTTCTCATATGTAAATTCTGACACTATTGGACTCTATAAAACAGAGAGTAGAATGGGGGTTGCTAAAGGCTAACATATGGGGAAATGAGGTGATGAAGGTTGAAAGTACAAATCTCAGTAAAACAGGAAGTATAGTTTTTTTTCTTTTGAACAACTCCTCCTCCTCCTCCTCCTCCTCCTCCTCCTCCTCCTCCTTCTTCTTCTTCTTTTTTGAGGTACACTGCACAGGATGGTGAATCCATAAAAGAATAATGTACAATTCATAATTTCTAGGAATAAATTTCAAATATTCTCATCATAAAAAATGATGAATACTTGAATTGATGGGTACCACCATAATTTTTTTAATTTTGTTATTCTTTCACACATTATATTTTTGAAGCATAACATTACTTTTTGCCCCAGAAATATACTGTTACAATTTGTCAATTTATGAATAAAAATAAATCAGATCTATATGAAGGTTACCCCTTGAAAAGCATTGAATATTTTAATATTAAATTTTTTTAATAATAAAACTGTTTAATGTAAAATAAATCATCTTATGTATTAGAAGGAATTATGCTGTGTTTTCTTAGAATCATGAATATTTTAATAGAAAAAGCCAAAGAAATAAAGAAGAACTTTAGCAGTTTCTTCAGATGTTTTCTGGAAAAAATGAACACTCACCTCATTTTAATTTGTATTTTTGACTTACAATTATTAAATGTATTTGTATTATTAAATGTGAGAGAACAAATTAAAGTGAATTTTTGCCCTGTCCCATGTTTCTAAAATTGCCTTTCAACTTGATATTATGTTTATTCCATTAGCAAAAGTTATATAGTAGTTTTTCTCTTGGGCTTGGCTATTTTCCATTCACTTTGATTATTATGTGAACTTTCAAACTAAAAACAGTTTGCACCCCTTAGTTCTTCATTCTTTAGGTGAAAAAAATTGCCTATGGGCTCTTCTTTTTCTTTTCTTTTCTTTTTTTTTTTGAAGTAGTTGGAATTATTTACTTGGGTTTACATGCATAAAAATGTTCTCTTCTTTTTAAGTCATTTAAATGATACACACATCATCTCACTTTCTGGTTTTCACTGTCAGTTCAGTTGTTTGGTTTGGAAGGGAAGCTTTCAGGGATGGTGGCATGCTTTCATGAAATCCTTATTTCTATTGGAGTATAAATTAACTGAACACTTTTCTTTCTAAACCTCAATTATTTTAACCAAGAAATAAGTATTAAAGCTTCATACACACGATCAAATTACTTTTTATATTATAAATAAGCATCAGATTGATTTTTGTTTTGAGCATCCTAGAAAATCCTGTAGGAAAGTGGCTGTCCCACATCAAGGGTAACTGTCAAGGCTATTGATGGCCCTGTCCTGGGTGACTACAGCAAGGAGCTGAGCAGGGGTTTCCTCCCCTATTTCATTTCTTTCCATATGTCTTACTTTCTTATTACTTCACTTTAAAACAAAACTGGATAATTAAATATTTTAACCCTTGGGAGATTTATTTAGGTTCATTTAGGTTAATGTTTCTCTTTTCGTACATTAGGAATGACATACAGCATTTTTGTGAGTTAATTTGAAGATGAGGGAGTATTTTTATGTTAGCTCAGGCTATCATAGGAAAATCCCATGTACTTGGTGGCTGAAACAACAGAATGTTATTTTCTCTCAATAATGGAGTCTGGAAGTCTGGGGTTAGAATTCCCTTCCAGCAGGTCAGGGTTCTATGAGGGTCCCTCCCTGGCTTGTAGATGGGGCCTTCACTGGACATCCTCTCATGGCAGAGAACAGCTGGTATTTCTTCCTCTCCACCAATTCACTAATCCCATCATTGGGCTCTACTCTCATGACCTCATGTAAACCTTATTACTTCCTTAAGCCTACCTCCTGGTACTATCACATTGGGGGTTATCTCTTCAACAGGTGAATTTTAGGGAAAACAAGTCAGTGCACAACAACCGCAAACAAGAATTTCAATTTTTGCTGTAGTGTGGAGTGACAGGGGTACCAATGAGGAGACACAGAGTTGGGAGAGCCACTAGAGGGGGCCAGGCTTTCCTATCTGTTTAAACTTAAAGAGCTCTACTTTTCTTTTTAAGATGTATTTGATGTTACATTATTTCTGGAAGGAGTTTTATGGGAAGAAACCAACCTAAGAGTGCTGAGTTAACTGAGGTGCTTTTGTTCCCATTCTGTCCTGACAGAGCAGCAGTGCTGTTCTTCCTGATGGCTCACCAGTGTTTCAGCAGCGTGTCAGCCGTGAAACTCTTTGTGGTCCAGAAGCAGCTATTTCTGTGAGTTGGTCTCTATTCTGGTAAGGGACATCGCTGGCTGGGGGAAAATGGTTAAATGCAGAATTAGACCAAAAATATGATTCTGGGGATTACTGGTATTTATTTTTCTTTTCTTTTCCCTTGTGTTCTTTATGTTTTCAAATTGACATTTAAATTATACATATTTATCATGTAAAACACAAAGTATATATAAGGATTACCAATATTAAGTGAGAAAAAGCAGTCCCAATTGGGATAGAAGGTCAAGAGTGTGTGGGGCCTGCTACAAAGAAAAAAGAAATTTCAAGGTTAGGGTATGGTCATCAAATCCCAATTCTGCCGAGAAAGAAAGGAATAAAGGGGTTAAGGAGTATCTTTAGTTTTTAGAAAAAAAAATAGGTCATAGTGACCCTCCCACGGAATTTTTTTAGAGGCTTTGGTAGAGATTAAGTGGAAGTGTAAGCAGCAAATTATAAGTGGGATATGAAGTTAACAAAGTATGTGGCCAAGCACAGCTCTGAGTGGATCAAAGAAAAAGTGAAGAGACCCAGAGGGCAACCTTACAGGAAAGAGCAAGATGGTTTTGCCCTTGTATTTTTCAAGGATGGAGGAAATTTACCCAGGCTTTAATGCCCAGGACAGGAATCACCCACCAGAGAGAAAAGGAATGAAGACAGTGGTGAAAGAGTTTGGAATTTAGGGAAGAAAGGTGTCAGCAAGAGGGGAGATGAAGATTTGATTGCTGACAGTGCTGCACCTTGGAGGCAGGATTACTGGAGGAAGAAGTCTTTTTCTTTTTTTAACAAAAGAGAAGTAAACAAATTTAGTGATCTGAATCTGCTTGAGGGCCGTGGAAATTAACAATGTTACTTTCACGCTCAGAAGTGGAGAGAAGAAAAGCCTCCATTACCACTGAAGTTAGCCCTGAAGTGCTGCTCATCAGGCAGAGCCAGCCTGACAGCATAAGCAGAGTCTCTGAGGAGAGTGAGGACATGCAGACTCTGTCCCTGGAGGGGTGATATGGGCCAGAGTGGGTGGCAGCAGGAGGAGTGCTGTCATGAGAGGGTCACAGCAAGAGCCTCATGGGACTGATGCCCCAGGGAGGCTGCATCTGAGGTGGAGAAGGATGCGGGTGGAGGTCAGCCTGGAGCCTGTGAGCAGCTGCAGTGTCAGACCTGGTGGCAGCAGGAGTCTGCACAGCAGCATCTCATCTGGGCTGTGCCTTCTGGGACTAATCTGGGGTGTGTGGTGTGTGTTTTTGTTCTGTAGACAGGAGCACATCTGTGGATACTACAGGGTGTCGTCTTATTTCCTTGGAAATATTTTATCTGACTTACTAGCCAGGAGGTTCTTGCCAAGTTTTATATTTACTTTTATAGTATACTTCGTGGTGGGTAAGTAACAAGACAAAGGGGATGTGTCTCTAGCCTTGAATATGTTGAGATGTTAACTTCTCATTGCAAACACGCTTTTGGTTCCCAAAACTATAAAACAAGCTATAAGGAATCATGTATTGATGGTATATTCTCTAAATTAGCTGGTTAATGTGGACACTTTTTCTAGACTTTTTCCCAACTGAACTTTAAAATGTATTTACGGAACTATATTTTTCTGAAGGATGCCATGTGTCATACTCAAACATGGAAAGAATTTGTTGAATTATTTGAGACTGTGCTAGAGAAGCTGGATATTTATTGCTTATCTGTATTTTTTTTCTCTATATCTTACTACATGTATCTCTATGTGGAGAAAAAATATATACAGGCAGGTAATATCTATGATATGCAGAGATATGTAGAAAGAGACTGAAAAACACAATGTATGCATATCTTTTCTTCCTGTCTCCTACTCTAACGAGAGGAAGACGGTGACTTTGGGATCTATTGATTTAATAAAATTACTTGTTTGATGATGTAGAACAGAATCAGTTGTGCATTATGCTCTGGCTTCACACCAGGATCACTGAATTATCATTTCTATAAGTTTCTCTGATATGTGTGTGTGTGCACACACGTGCACACACACACGCACACAAATTTTCTTTGACAACTCACCACAGGATTATAACCACTAATAGAGCTGGAAACTTCAGTTTTATAAATAATAAGTGTGCTATGAGAATTAGGCATGGAATCTTAGAGCTGTAGACTTCTTATCAGTATTCTTACAGATATTCCAAAATCTTCAGACCATTCTAATACAGAGTTCATGATAATTATAAAGTAATTTAAGAAGCTTGGCAGCCCAATCACAGAGCCACGTGGTGGTGATTATACTAGGGGGATTTACGTTATAAAGATGGCTACCCTTCATTCGCATGAAGAGAAACAATGAAATTAGTGACACAATTAGTGATACATTGATTGTGATTTGGAAGTTTTCGTGAAGAATTTTAAAAGCCAGTCGTAAAATTTTATTGCATGTGAGTGATGTTTTTTGTTGTTCTGATCTTACTTTCTCAGGATATTGTAGTGTTATTGGCACTATAAACAGTTCCAGATACACAGGGAGCTACACAGCTAAACTGATCCTTTGTTTTCTTTAAGGATCAAAACCAGCAGTGGAGGCTTTCTTCATCATGATCTTTACCCTCATGATGATGGCTTTTTCATCCATTTCCATGTCACTGGCCATAGGAATAAGTCATAGTGATGTAACTATAACAAGACAGGTCATGAACATCTATTTTACTTTTATGTTGGTGAGTGTGAATTGGGCTTCTCTGGGGACAGAATTTTTCCCCCTGTTTCTCTGACACCTTCCTGTCATGAAAAAGTCTGTTTTGAGGATTCCGGATGTGGGAATCTGATGGTTTCAGGAAGCCATAGACTGAACTATAGTTTATATTAAAGAATGTACCACTTTCTTCCTTCCTCCTATATAGGCTTTTCTGCTAGTGTTCTCATGTAGTTACTTATCTTAGCTATGTCCTTATTAATGAGCTTTTAAAAAAGACTTTTTGGTGATTATGAACGTTTATTAGGACTTCAAAAACAAGAATAATGATTGATTCCCTTGCAAAAACCACAGGCTGTCTACCTGCCTTTCATGCTGGTGTTAGAGAACTGCCAGCCGTGTAAGCAGCAGAGCTTGTTTGGTTGGATTCATTATTCCCCAAGGTGAAAGTGAAGCTCCATGAGAAGTGTTACAGGGGTCTAGCTTGGATGCCTCTTGCATTTGAAAATGTTTTAAAATTACTGGAAATTTCTAAAGTCCATAGTATTAGGTCACCTGTTGTCTGGCTTCCTGAGAATCGCTAATATCAATATGTTTCTGTTTCATCTTTTTAGAAAATGATTACAAAATCATAATCTTTCATGGTCCTAAAATTTGCACTCACATAGATGAATCAACAGATAAACAGAGCCTATTACCACACACCCCACACAATATCAGCTAAACAGCATCCTTTCTGGTACAATAGAAAGAGATGCCCTTGAATGGCACATATACAACACTTTAAAAAGTTCTTTTTATTAATGTGGTATAGTTATCTATAATTTGGGGTTCATTTTGAGGCAACCATAAAAGCATGGCTTATACATACTCTTGTCAAAGTTTAGTTCAATTTCTGAATTTGTCAACTGCCAATATATACCATCAACAATGTGATGTCTAATTTGTATTTAATCTACTATAAAAAGAAGTCCTTCAGTAAATAGAGATGTTTTGTTTGATTTATTTGATACATTGATTGTGATTTGGAAGTTTTCGTGTAGAATTTTAAAAGCCAGTCGTAAAATTTTATTTCACTCAGAGATGTCATGTTATACACCAGTCACTTCTGGTAGGTCAAGTCTGATATACGCAGGCACACCACAGCACTGCCACCATTGTGCAAATCCCAGCTCACCTCACCCCAGTTGGGGCCAGTGTTATGTGGGCCTCTCGTTCATCTCCAGCGCTCCTTCCTGAATCTGCATTGCAATATCACTTTTTCATAGCTTTAAACAGAGGGATTGTCCATGTTTTCTGCTGTACTACACCACGCTATACAGTGTATAAGTTCTAGGCTTTGGGAAACCTGAAGCCTACAATTCTGAACCCCAAATTATTATTAATGTCATGGATGCAAAAAGCAAATCCTTGTAAATAACAAATCTTACAGTTGTATGGAAATAGAGAGGTGTATGTGAAGCTCAGGAACATTCTTGTATATGTTCCTAGATTTTCAGGATCATTGGGGCAACACACCTTGGTGTTATGCTTAGGATAGTCAGTAGTCAGCTCTTTGTGTCAGTGAGTTCTGCATTAGAAACTTCAAACAACCACAGATGAAAAACATACAGAACAAGAATTAGGTATGTACTGAATATGTACATTTTCTTTTTTAGTTATTATTGCCTAAACTACATAGTTTATATGGTCATAGGTATATAGTATAAACTACATATACAACATTTATACTATAGTAGGTAAAAGAAATATGAAGATGATTTAAAATGCAAAGGACACATATATTTAAAGTATAAAGCATTTGCTTGGGATTACATGCAAATACTATGCTCTTTTAAAATAATGGAATTTGAGATCTGCAGATTTGAGTATCTATGTATGTGAGTACTAGAGCTGGTCTCCCTTGGATACCAAGAGATGAATATATTTCTTAATCTTCCATTGTTTGCAAGTACAGAAAAACATGAAAATATAGTATTAACAATTAAGGATCTTCCAAATAAATGAAATCTATGATATAGACTAGAGTATATTTTCATTAATTAAAACCCTAAACAGTCTTAGCCATGTGAGGTTTACACATGCAAAGGAAGATTAATATTTAGAGCAAGGTCAAAGAATTTCAAGAGTTGTTCCTACCAGAAATGTTCAGAAGATGTTTTTCTCTAGAATTCCTCATGAAATTCCTGGACCAGTTCTAATTCATGATTTTTGCTTTTTGTAGATTTTTTTGGGTCTGACATTGTATTTTGGAAGCATGGCTCCTCAGATCTTGTGGCTTCAGTACTTCAGCATTCCTTATTATGGCTTTACAGTAAGTTGTCCTTGACTGTCATTGTGAATAGGTGCCCAAGGTGGGAACAGTGAAAATAAAGCCCATAAGTCTCACTTCCCCTGCCTTGACCTGTGGACACCTCCCCCCGCAGGAATTTCCTTCCAGGAGCAATGGAGGAGTACTTCCTATTATCCTTTAGCACAAGGTCAGGGAGTTATCTGGGGTTTTCCTCAGTCACCCTGTTGTTTCAGATGAGAAAAGTGAGGAGAATAAATCTTATAGTAAAGTGGAAAGAATGACAGATGAAAAACATTGTGTTTCCATTCAATAAGGAAATAAATGAGAGGATGGGAGACTGGGATACTTAGCTTATAATTAAAGAGAAATTATGAGAAACAAAGAGGCTAAACAACACTCCTGGCCCTATGGCTCTAGTAAAGGAATCAACTCCAAAGAAAACCGTGTCTTAATACAGTGTAACCAAGATTTTAACTCCTACAAGTGATTTTGATGAAAACAAGAAAAGATCATTACCACAAGTCAGCAATATTCATTGAGCAATACTACATCATTTTAGTTATAAAGATTATAGGGTTACACAGTTAAAGAGAAAAGAAAGAAGGGGCTATGGGGTGATCTACCAAGAGATTTCCCTTCTTGGCCAATTGGAAGGAATATCCCAACCTTAGGCCTCTTAATTTCCAGGGAAATTAGTTAATTTGTGATATATTGTGAATATGCAACTTTGTATATATTTGGAAATAACAATAAAGATTGAACTTGAAGATTTAATTGTTATGATTCTTTGGAAATGTTTTGAAATTTAAAACCACCTTGCATTGTCCTTTGTGTCACACAGGCTTTGCAGCATAATGAATTTTTGGGATGATACTTCTGTCAAGCCCTCAATATAACACATGGCAATAACTGTCCAAACTACGTAATGTAAGTTTGTGTCCAATGTCTTAAGAGGCTTTATTATTACTATGATGAGATATAGAGAGTCCCCTGGGATTAGAGCTGGAACAAGAATTTTCAGGGTCAACAAACCTTTCTGAGCCTACATTTTCTCCCTCATAAAGTGAGTGATTGTGCACTAATGCATGTGAACATGTTGTACTTGTATTATGCTACAGTCCAAATTGTTTTTGTATAGAAATGTTCACTGGGGGCCTGTTGAAAAATTAATGTTTCAGTTTTTGAGTGATTTTTAGTTTTTAGAGCATTTGAATTTGAAACAGGCTGTTTGATAGTTTAGCAAAGCTTATAGTCTCTGGATGTATGGATTCTGTGCTGTCAGCCCAGCCCATGGACCACAGTAGGCACTAACAGGGCTGCAGTAACATAAAGGGGGTAACATTAAGATCTGGATCTAGTCCTTTCCTCTGCTCACATTATGTGTGTGTGTGAGAGTGTGTGTATGTGTGTGTGTTTGTGTGTGTGTGTGTGTGTGTGACAGAGAGAGAGAGAGAGAGAGAGAGAGAGAGAGAGAGAGAGACCGACTTGGAATTCTCCCTATCAATGGTTATGTCCTTTAATGAATAAACACATATTTCAACAAGTCAAGAAGGAATTCTCATTTTTGCATCAAGTTCTTAAAATAGAAATGCTGGTTTTAGTGAAATGAGAAGATCTTGTTTTGTGCTTTTTATATTTTACTTTTCTATTACTGTTTTTAATCATTTGATATTAATACAAAATTAATGAAAGAAAAGAGAATACTGGTATTTTAAATCCCTTTTGGATGTTCAAATAACTTAGAAATAATTCTTAGTAATAAAACAATTTTGTATTTTGAATTACTAGTGGGAAAAACCTCTAGGAAAAGAGATTTTCTATTTTTGCCCGCTCTCCTTGGTTTGATTTGGGTGTGGCGTCTTTGTAACATAGAGTCACCACCAGGCTTCAAGGGAGGATGCAGTGGTTGGAAATGTGGGACCAGATAGGAGGAGCCACCACAGGCTTCACACTTACATAGGGCTCATCTTCACAAGAGGAAGGAAGAAGCTCCTCTTAGCAGAGGGAGGTCATGGCTATTTTAGGAACTTCTAAATGCCAAGATGCACAAGACAACAGGCCATAACTGTGGCTGCACAGTTGATACTGTCTTAGTATCAGGTGCTTTTCTACCTGTGGCAGGAATGCTCCATTCTGCTCTGTTCCAGCTGGTACTTCAGGTCTGAGTCTGTTTTCTGGGCCTGCAGGTAATATCCTGTACCCTAGCATCTGTGATGCTCATCATAATATTGGAGTGACAGCTGACAAACATAACTCTGGCTGGAAGCCCTTGCTCTTCTCTGGTCCTGATTTTAGAATTCTTAGCCTATGTTTTTAGGAAGGTTGTCTTGAGGATAAGCAGAACTGCAAACAACTTTGATCATCTTAGGAAGGGGCATAGGTGTCATAACTTAGGCCACAGTTTTCCCCATCAGGAGTAAGTGATAGGTTACTTGATAATCATTTCTGCCCTTTGAAGAGGGCACCATTATAGACTTAAAAACATATGAATTTGATCAAGCTAGAAATTTGGTTCTTAATGTGACTGTAAACTTGGCCAAGTTCATTAAACCTACTTCCCTTCCTCTTTTAAATATGTAGGATATGTATACCCCTTTGATTTATTTAATGATTCATAGGTATTATATATGAAGGGATAATTATTGAAGATTTTGTGTGCATAGAGATGTCTTTAAGGAAAAGCAACTGTATTGACTAAAATTTCATAGATTCTAGGAATGAAGTTACATTCTTTCTGTTTTTAATTTCAGATGTTCTGGTGAAGAATTCTTGGAACTGCAGAACATTGATCTCTCACCTTGGGGTTTGTGGAAGAATCATGTGACTTTGGCTATTTTGATGAATATCTTTCTCATAATTGCCTGCCTAAGAATATTATCTCTTACAAATATTCTTAAATTCTGCCTTAATTTTCTACGAATTACCCTCCCATTAAAAAATATCTAATGAAAATTTTTTGTTGTCTTCTGTTCAGTTTAATTACACCATAGGTAAGCAATAATTATTTTTAATAAAAAATTACAGAAATAACTGAATTATTCATCAAATAATCCACATCAAAACCTAATGCTATTACATATTGCATGTTAACTTATCTCATTGGACAGTCAGAATTAGGAAGAAATGCCAGCTAATTTCTTGATATAACAAAGGA